TACAATATACCCTAGTACATACAATCTAAACAGCATAATTCATTAATTGAGTAAAAACAACAACATTAACAACAACAACAATAACAACAACAATAACAACAACAATAACAACAACAATAACAACAACAACAATAAAAGCAACCCAACATCATCACCATCATCAACAACAACAACATCAACAACAACAAAAAACAATAATAATAACAACAACAGCAGTAGCAGCAGCAACAACAACAACACCATCGTCGTCAACAACAGCTGCAGCAGCAACAACAACAACAACAACAATAACAACAACAACAGCATCAACATCATTATCGTCATCATCATCAACAAAAGCAACAACAACAGCAAAAACAACAACAGCAACAACAACAACAACAATAACAATAACAATAACAATAACAACAACAACAATAACAACAACAACAACAACAACAACAACAACAACAGCAACAACAGCATCAACAACAACAATACACATGTCGAAGGTCTGACAGTTCCAAGCAGATGGGGAGCCTTGAAAACTGTTCACACAACCTTGGTCCAAAATGTCTCGTTGGGATTTGAACCAGTTATCCGCGCTGTAGTTCAGCTAGCAACAACCTGGGCCCTTGTGCGATAAAGGTCCAGAATCGAATTATCTTTTGAGAGGATGTTTACTTTTTACTAAAGCGTATTGGAGAATTTTTTTAAAATTATGCGCGAGAAGATCAGTTGATCAGTGGCGTCGGCGGCCTAGTGGTTAGGCTTTCAGATTCGCAACCGTAAGGTCGTGGGTTCGAATCCCGCCATGGACCCCACTTTGTGTCCTTTGGGAAAGGCACTTTACACAAATTTTCCTCACTTCACCAGGGTGAGAATGGGTACCCGGCTATAGACAGTGAAAGATCTTGTCACTTTGTTAGTGTCTTGCACTGTAGGCTTGCCAGGAAGCTGAGAATGTTTCTGAGTGTTCTGTGGTCTGCTGGGGTAGTAATAATATAATGTAAAGCGCGTAGAGAAATATCCCCTTCAGATCAAAGATCAGACTGATGCGTTCCCTGGTCATGTCAGTATTTTTGTATGCGTGTGAAAACTGGACCTCGAATGCAAACCTTGAAAGAAAGATCAAAGCTGTGGGGTTGAGATGCTGCCGAAAAATCCTTGGTATCTCATACAAAGATCGCATCACAAATGATGAAGTCAAACAACGAATCAAAAATGAAATCGGACCATATGCTGACCTTCTCACTCTGGTAAGGAAAAGCAAACTGCAATGGTATGGACACATCACCCGTTCATCCGGCCTTGCCAAGATGATCCTGCAAGACAGCGTCCAAGGGAAAAAGAGCAGAGGCAGACCAAAGAAGAGTTGGGAGGACAACATCAAGAAATGGACAGGCCTGGAACTCAAAGACACGCTCAGGAAAGCTGAAGACCGGAAGGAGTGGAGGAAGCTGGTAGCCAAATCTTCAAAAGCGCCCCGACGGATATCCAGTCTACGGGGCAGGTGAAGGTGAAAAGTGGCTCTGATCTGTATAATTTACAGACGTAATTTTAAAAACAAAGTCAATACAAGAATAATCTTTGGTGATGTTTTAGTGCTGTTTGATAATGTCAAAACTATGCTGCTTGATCAAGTGGATACAAGAATAGACTTTGGTGATGTTTCACCAAAGATAGTACACGACAAGATGGTTCACTCCTCTCTTTGAGCCTGCTATTTTAAAAAAGTTTCCTCAAAATCCAGTGGAGCCCTATATGAAAAAACTTACCCTTTGCGAAAAGACTTGTATGAAAAAAATCAAAGTGAAACTAATAAGTTGTGTTATTCCTGTTAAGTTCTTCTGTAGAAAGAAACGAAAGAGAGTTTATTCAAAACCTAGGCCATCAATAATTTATTTATAGAGGCACCTGCGCTCCATGCCCAGGTGCTGCTTTAGCCGTTTATTCAAAACAAAGACTGCAATGCCATTTGAAGCAATGCGCGGACTTCCGTGGACACTTTTTTGGCTGAGTGAACAGTCTTGTTATGTACGATCTTTGTTGTTACTGCTGTATGATAAAATATCGATACAAGAATAGTCTTTGGTGGTGTGTTACTCTGTTCTACAACACTACAAGGTTTTTATGACTGGTTCTCGGTTGATGGTAAAGGGTTAAGTATCTCAAGACTTTAGGTCAAGAAGAGCGCGCAGTTGTTCTGCATAAATGGAAATTTCAGGTATTATGTGCTTAGCCTTCTGAAGGTGTTGCTATCACCACGGGCCTTTTATCGCTGTCTCAAGCCTGGCCTGTACACAGACCCCACAAACCAAGGATTTTCTTATCAGTAATATCATAACAGCGAAACTAAAAGGATGTATCTCAAGCTTCAGATATTATAGGAGATAGACGCCTTTATATTATTATATACAACACTCAAGACACCATGACATGACGCTAGGCTCAGTTGCCCTGAAGAAAATATGTCAATTTTGGCATGCGTTCCAGGGTCATTGTCCATGGCAAACAGGTGACATCAGTATAGTCTTTAATCCACCGTCCAACCTGACATCAAC